ATATATATATATACATACGCACACATATATTTTTTTCATCATTCTTATACCAACTTCCCCAAGGCCAACCAGATTAATATTAAAACCTTATGAAAGCCAGGTGTGGTGGCACACACCTTTAATCAGTTGGATTAAAATTGCAATTGGGAGGCAAAGGCAGGCAGACCTTGGTCAATTTGAGGCCAGCCTGGTCTATATAGTGAGTTCTAGGCCAGCTGGGGCTACAGGGAGACCCTGTCTCAAAAAGACCAAAAAATAAAAATAAATAAAACCTTACAAAATTATTTTTCTCTCTCACTCTTCCTGTCTCAGCATCCCACCTAACTGGGACTACAGACATGTGCCACCATGCCCAGCTAAACAAAATTCTCTCTAGCTGACAGATGTGGTGGCTTCCAGCATGTAGGAGATTAAGGCAGGAAGATTGCCACAAGTTTGAGGCAAGCCTGAGCTAGAACAGAGAACCTGCTTTTTTGTTTTTGTCTTTTGAGATAGTTTCCATGTAGCCCCAGCAGGCCTAGAACTTGCTTTGTAGGCCTGGCTGGCCTTGATCTCATAGAGATCTATCTACTGCCTGATTTTGCCTCCTAAGTGCTGGGATTAAAGGTGTTTGCCACCATACCGTACCCTGTTTTCTTTTTTGAGACAGGGTCTCCTGTACCTCAAGCTATCCTCAAATCCTTATGTATCTGAGGAGGATCTTGAATTCCTATCCTCCTGCCTCCACCTCCTGAGTGCTGGGATGAAAGACTTGTGCTACCAGTCACCTCAGTGAAACCTTATTTAAAAAAACAAACGGTGCTGGAGAGATGGCTCAGTGGTTAAGAGCACTGACTGCTCTTGCGGAGGACCTGGGTTCGACTCCTAGCACATGGTGCTAACAACTAACTGTCCATAACTCCAGTTCCAGGGGATCAGATGGATGCTTCCTTCTGTCCTCCTCAGGCACTGCACAGGGTGCACTGACACACATGTATATAATACACTCATACACATAGAACAAAAATATTAAAAAAAAAAAAAAACACAAAAGAAGCTGGGTGTGGCAGCACACCCTTTTAATCTCAGCACTCAGAAGGCGGGGGCAGGTGGATCTCTGTGAGTTCAGGGTCAACCTGTTCTACATAGAGTTCCAGGCCAGCTGGGGCTACAAGGAGACCCTGTCTAAAAAACAAAACAACAAGAGAGTAGGAGAGATAGTAGGAAAGATGGCTCAGCAGTTAAAAACATTGGCTGCTCTTCTGCTCTCTTGCATAGGACTTAGGTTCAGTTTCTAGCACCTACATGGCAGCTAACAACTCTGAAACTCCAGTTTTAGGATATCCGATGACCTCCTCTGGCCTCCATGGGCATTGCATGCATGGATGCACTTACATACATGCAGGCAAAACATTCACATACATAAAAATAAGTGAATAGCCAGGCGCCAGCAGTAGGGAGGCAGAGGCAGGCAGATCTCTGTGAGTTCAAGGTCTACATAGTGAGTTCCAGGATAGCTGGGGCTACAGGAAGACCCTGTCTCAAAAAGACC